ATACAGTGTAAACTCTTTATAACGTCACTCGATTTAACGACAAACTCCTTAAAACGTCGAAATTGCTTGACTTTGGTTGGTTTACATTGTTTTCTATACAATATTACACTCTTTATAGCGTTACGCTCACTCTATTCAACGACAACAATGCGGCATTATAAATCATTGAGCAGTACTTAATAATATCTTTTATTTCTCTCCATTTAACGACCACTCTTTATAACGCCGAAAAATGTTCAATCCCTTAAGTGTCGTTATATAGAGTTTACACTGTACTAGAATCGATCCAAAATCGATGAAAAAAATTTTGGAGTGATTTTATTCTGGAGCTTCAATTCTGGATAATTACTATGTGTTCAAATCAAATCTAAAACTATTAAGGAAAAATATTTTATGAGCCTTTAATATATTGTTTTATGAAAAGAAGTTTTATTGGAACCGAGACAATTAATTTGTCTAATAAGTTTTTACACCTGTAGATACACCAGTCACTTTAAATCCATCCATATTTATACATATTCTCCAATTCCTAAGGGTTTTCCCGACGTTAGTGCGTCCCTGACCTCATCGCGTTTTATCGTAGCAGTTTTTGTTAACGTTATTCTTGAGTTTATCAATTTTAGGCCGTTTAGATTTTATGATACGTATTACGATGGCTGTGCCTGCTGAAAGGGTGCTTTTTTTTTCACCTGCAGGGGCCGCGGTCGTACAAAATCATTCAATGATTAGGTGGTTTTATTGTTTCCATGTGAAGCGACTCCCTAGACACTTTGAAATAATAGTTCTAGAAAAGAGGACTGGGGGCTGTTAAACATTCAATAGCAATTATCCCTGAGGTTGAAGATAATAGTAATGGTATGTTATTATAGGTCCTTCTGGCCGTAATGCCATAACACGGGAACAACTCCCGGTGCACGAGATGCAATGTTACCATTATTTAATGAGAAACTAGTAATTTTCAATACTATTATTACCGAAGCACGCAGTGGCTTATGCATGAAATTATTTTTTCGGTCCGGTGATCGCGAATCTCTATCTCTTCAAAGATGAACCGATACGTTTCTGAAACAGTACCCTATAAATATTGTTTATTTTAAAAATTAAATATTTTCTTCTGAACTATGCACACTTTCTACCTTTTACATATCATCAAAAATGAAGCACAACTGAGAGAACAGAAACACTATGGTGGTAATAATCTTGCACGTCATTTCTTTTAAGAAAATAACTTACTTGAAGCCTCGGATCGTCCCGCCAATAACTACTAAGGTCGTCAGTCCTAAGACTGGTGGGACACACATCTCCACTCCTTCCTATCCTGGGCTAATCATCGCATTTCCTAGAATATCCCCCATCTTTAACTACTTGCGAATCTAATCTAAGTCTACCTTGACTCCTCCTAACTCCTGTTTCTGCCTCTCATATGTCTCTGACTAGACCTTCATACCTGAGAAGGAGTCCTACCAACCTATATCGCCTATTTCTTATTGACTTCCATAGAGTCCTCTGTTCTCCGATTCTTTCTAATACCTCTTCATTTCTAACCTTCCCTATACATCGAGCTTCGAGGATAATCCCAGGCCTTTCAAGTGGTCATAAACTGTTGAATTTGATAAATTTAACCTCAATCCGATCTCACGTGTTGTTATTCGCCGGTTCACATCAACTAATGCCTTTATCGCGTCTTTATCANTTCACTTGTTACATCTGTTGCGCCGTCGTATTCAGTAACAGTAATGACTGTTTTAAGAGGCTGTAAACGGTACCTACTACGTAATGAGATTGTAAAACATTTTTTTGCTCGTTATAGAGACACGGCATTAACCGCCGAATATTCCCCTGCAAATTGTCACGTCTGCGTGGCTTCATTCACTTGTTAATTGCAATTGAATGTAGTCAACGACAATAATAGAGACAGAAGACGTACTTGCTCTAAAGCGCACACATGTGTATGTTTATTGTACGTGTAGATGTGCATGTAAGTGAATAGATATGCAAAGATATGTCTGTATTTTACCATGTGTGTGTGTGTGTGTGTGTGTGTGTAAGAACGTATGTCTACGGTTGCTGCTTAATCCACAAGAGTTCTCATGCGTGACGGGTCCTTGTATTCAACCGGACCTCCCAGCAGTTACACTACTGCTAACGGAAGACTGGTTTGACACATGTTAAACGTAATGCCAGGTAGTGTACAATGGAAAAACTACTGTCCATGCTACGTTCCCTATCAGAACTAGTCCTCTAAACGATTGCGATAGTGCATACCTGTTTGTGTTGTTACATATTTATGTTGACGACTCAAAGAGTCAAAAGAGATGGTCTGGAGTTCCTTGAAGTTAGGAAAATTTCTTCATAATTGGGAAGGCTTTGGTCATTCAGCCAAACAGTCTCAATTCCGGGATTAATTGAAAATGTTCCGAGCTTAGCATAGCTTAGCATGTGGGGTTATACTAATCCGATTCCAGTTTCCCTGTCTTTCACCATTTTTTCCTGTGAATCCCTATAATATTCCACAAGAGCTTTTCAGTCTTCTGCTACCATCATTTTGTTCGTTCCGTCATCCTCCACCATCAATCCCTAAAGGCGATTGAAGAGTGCCTTCCGTGCCTACCCATCACCATACGTTTAGAAAATTTCTTTATAACGGGGAAGACTTTGAGCGTTCAGTTAAGCAGGTTCAATCCTAACAGATTTTCAGAACTAAAGGGGAACTACATTAAGATGATCTTGGGCAGAGAACTGAAAAGATCCAAATCCTTCATTCAGCCATCAGCTTCCGACCAGTTCAGTCTATTAGTAGTTGCGTTATCTGGGATGGCATCAGTTCGATTCCGGTTCCGCCCGCCTTTAATCATGTTTTAATTATTATATTAATTCAATCAGAACCAATTTTCACTTTTTTACTAAATAATAGTGGCTGTAGTTGGACTAAAGCCCTTGAACATGCAGCCACCTAAACAGACACATTGTATGTGGGTAGTTGCGTGTTTCTGTTCAACTAATGACCCTGTTCTAGTCCGTCTTTGCTATGATCCTTTTACGTCATTGCATATAAGTTGATTGATGGTCCCGAATGGTTTTCCAGCTTGTTAGGTATACGACAAACTAACAGCATACCTTACAATGCACGGCCGATACGGAGAAAAATGTACACAGAAGAAATTAGCGCTAATTATTTATTGGTCTACTTCACTTGGAATTGCAAACAACCGCAAAATAAGACAATGCAACTCTATCCGCTTAATTGCTATTCCCTTTAGAACTAATTAAAGTTTTTCCGTCTTAATCAATGAGTCAGTTCGAATTAATTAATGGAATAGTTTTAGACGAATTTGTCGCTAAAGGTTAACCTTTAGTTCAATTTTGTGCTTTAACAAATTTGCAATAAGTAGAATAACAGGGAACACAGCAATTATATCATATTTCACTCACCTATAGCTTCCAGATAGATCTATTTCTGCAGTCCTGGACTGCCATTTTTTCACCTTTCTGAAACAAAATAATAAATGAAATTGTTGACTGAATTAAACCATAAAATGAATTAATTCGCAAAAAAATGTACTCATCGATATTTTCAATTTTATTAAATAATTGGTTAGAATAATTTTAATATCCATGAAACTCCAAAACTAACTGGGCATATTTCAACATGGTTTTTATTTTTGTAACAAAAATACTGGTATGTAAGGGAAGAAACAGTTGGATAAAAGCTAATGTAAAGATAGCAGACGAAAGATTAGAAGAAGTGGTTGATTTTAGTTATCTAGGAAGTCTGATAAGTCAGGACGGAAGGAGTATTAGGAATATAAAGCAGAGGATAGCGCAGGGTCGAGTCGCCCTCAGTAAAAAGAAGTCACTTCTATGCTTGCGAACGATTAATTTAGAAATTCGAAAAAGGTTGCTAAAGGTGTGTTTGGAGCGCGCCGCTGTATGACTGCGAAACATGGACAGTGGGCGCGGCGGAAAAGAAAAAGATAGAAACTTTCAAAATGTGGTGTTACTGGCGAATGATGAGGATACCGTGGATAGAGAAGGTTAGAAATGAAGAGGTATTAGAAAGAATAGGAGAACAGAGGACTCTACGGAAGTCAATAAGAAATAGGCGATATAGGTTGGTAGGACACCTTCTGAGGTATGAAGGTGTAGTCAGAGACAAATTAGAGGCAGAAACAGGAGTTAGGAGGAGTAGAGGTATACCTACAGTTTCCACATTGTTAAGGATGTGCCATGTAAGCATATGAAAAAAAAAGCAGGCGATCAATAAATTTCAGAAGGATTTTCACCGGTGCAAGGGTCTATTTTGGAAGAAGAATTCAAACAGAAAAGTCAAAGACTTTGTCCTGAAAGAATTGGATGCAGTGTCGAAAAGATATTCCTGCAGAGTATTCTTGTGGTACATACAAAAAAGTTAAGATGTTATTTGAAATTTACACGCATTTGGAATTACTGCGTTATCGATAGATCTTGATATAACAAATTACTGTTAGATCGTCGTAATGATGTAGTTCTACAAGTGCCGCGCATTTCTGAGCGTAAACCTCCACATGAATACGTTTCTGTAGATATATATGTATATGCATAGGCACATAGACCGGATAATCCAACTAATTGTCATCGGACGTATAATACCAATGTAGTAATCAATGCGAACCAATACGCTGCGTTTATTACATAATACAAGTAATTACTGATAACGCGCAATCACGACATCTACAAGGAACTCCCAATCGGATTGTACGGAATCAGAGATTAATTAAATTAACGTCGAAGATCAAAAAGAATGATGTTGGCTGTTCTTGTTATTTGTTACTGTTGTTATTGTTGTTGTTGTGTTGCATTTAGGCGTACTTATACTCTTACGGAAGGCAGTTGTAATTGTGTGGAAATAATGGCTCGAATAACAGGTCAATTATCTAGTTATGTATGCTTCGTTTGAACCGTTTGACTTTTAACCATGCCTGGAATGGACAAGTGAGCAATTTGTCTTCAGATATAAAAAAAAATGAGACCAATCTCTGAAGAATCTAACAATTTCATCCATTTAAGTCGTAAATGCTTCAGAGCATTAGAAGTCCTACAACTGCGATGAATAATAGAGGGCCGCAGTTACACCCTTGAGGAACCTTTAATAGTCTAATCAAAATCTAAGTTTATCGAATAATATAAGAGAGCGAAGTACCGCAAGTTATAAGTAATTTCATCCGATAGATAATTCACTTGTTACATCTGTTGCGCCGTCGTATTCAGTAACAGTAATGACTGTTTTAAGAGGCTGTAAACGGTACCTACTACGTAATGAGATTGTAAAACATTTTTTTGCTCGTTATAGAGACACGGCATTAACCGCCGAATATTCCCCTGCAAATTGTCACGTCTGCGTGGCTTCATTCACTTGTTAATTGCAATTGAATGTAGTCAACGACAATAATAGAGACAGAAGACGTACTTGCTCTAAAGCGCACACATGTGTATGTTTATTGTGCGTGTAGATGTGCATGTAAGTGAATAGATATGCAAAGATATGTCTGTATTTTACCATGTGTGTGTGTGTGTGTGTGTGTGTGTAAGAACGTATGTCTACGGTTGCTGCTTAATCCACAAGAGTTCTCATGCGTGACGGGTCCTTGTATTCAACCGGACCTCCCAGCAGTTACACTACTGCTAACGGAAGACTGGTTTGACACATGTTAAACGTAATGCCAGGTAGTGTACAATGGAAAAACTACTGTCCATGCTACGTTCCCTATCAGAACTAGTCCTCTAAACGATTGCGATAGTGCATACCTGTTTGTGTTGTTACATATTTATGTTGACGACTCAAAGAGTCAAAAGAGAACGTCTGGAGTTCCTTGAAGTAAGGAAAATTTCTTTATAATTGAGAAGGCTTTGGTCATTCAGACAAACAGTCTCAATTCCGGGATTAATTGAAAATGTTCCGAGCTTAGCATAGCTTAGCATGTGGGGTTATACTAATCCGATTCCAGTTTCCCTGTCTTTCACCATTTTTTCCTGTGAATCCCTATAATATTCCACAAGAGCTTTTCAGTCTTCTGCTACCATCATTTTGTTCGTTCCGTCATCCTCCACCATCAATCCCTAAAGGCGATTGAAGAGTGCCTTCCGTGCCTACCCATCACCATACGTTTAGAAAATTTCTTTATAACGGGGAAGACTTTGAGCGTTCAGTTAAGCAGGTTCAATCCTAACAGATTTTCAGAACTAAAGGGGAACTACATTAAGATGATCTTGGGCAGAGAACTGAAAAGATCCAAATCCTTCATTCAGCCATCAGCTTCCGACCAGTTCAGTCTATTAGTAGTTGCGTTATCTGGGATGGCATCAGTTCGATTCCGGTTCCGCCCGCCTTTAATCATGTTTTCCCGTGAATTCCCAGTCATATTCCACAAACAGCCTCTCATTCTTCTGGTATCCTCATTTCGTCCGTTCCGTCGTCCTCCACCATCACATTGTCACAATTTCGTGCTTACCCATCACTTTACGTTAAGTTTAGAAAATCTCTTTATAACGGGGAAGACTTTGATAGTCCAGTTAAGCAGGTTTAATCCTTACAGATTTTCAGAATTAAAAGAAAATACATCAGGAGATTCATGGGCAAAAAACTCTCTCCCCCATCAGTTTCCGAGAGGCCTCGTGTATTAGTAGTTACATCATCTGGGATCATCAGTTCGATTCCGGTTCCGTCTGTTTTTAGTCATGTTTCCCTACGATTTCCCAGGAATATTCTGAGCGCCCAGTTAAGCGGATTCAATCCTAATACATTTTCAGAATTAAAGGAAATACATCAACAGGTTCTTGGGCAAAGAACTCAAAAGATCCAAATCCTTCTCTCTCCTAACAGCTTCCGAGCGGCGTAGTCTATTACTGGTTACGTCATTTAGGATTACACCAGCTCGATTCCGGTTCCGCCTGCCTTTGGTCATGTTTTCCTGTGAATTCTCAGTAATAGTCCATAGATAGCCTCTCACTCTTCTGGTGTCTTNAAAAATTAGAATGTGGATAATTTAACAGGCTTTTGGATAATCTACACCTGCATGGATTTTAGAATTTTTACAACTGCCCAATGTTAATTTCTAATAAAATCATGGTAGTTATATATGTTGAAGCAGTGTCCACCTATTAGGCTTAGCAATTTCAACGTTAATTAATGGCAAGCAGTAAAACTGCTTTTGTTCATACCGTCAAACGTGGACACTTAGTCGAAATTGACGATTATGAGAAAAGCCGTTTGGGTCAATGACGGCTTACGTCTTTCGACACACCGTCGACAAAATACCAACGAATGGGACAGCATTTTTCCCAAAACATTTCATTTTTATACACCGCTTTTTGCACTTTACCACAATAAATTCAAATAATTCAATAGTGTTACATCGAAGAAGCAAATTTTCTACCATGTCAACTACAATTCATTAAGTAATTATTTAATAATATAATAATAATCATAGATTAACTTATTAGATAATTGCGGAACGTAGAAATGACAGGGTTAGTGAAGACGGTAAGTCGTCTCACCCTGTCATATTATAATTATAGATTTCCTATTTAAACGGTTGACTTACTAACACAGCTTGTGTATTTTAAATAAATAATTTAGGAATACCAACTGTATCTACCTATAATAGGTATAATTGTACCTTGGAAGTCCTTATAGAAGGATGCAACTTTAAGGGACCATATCTCAAGAAGATAAACAACTACTACCAGAATCCAAAGTGTCCAAAAGTTTGAAATAGTGTCATTTTATGTAGGTAAAGATCTAGCAGGGTCCTTTATGATTAATATTGATCGGCTGCTCCACGATACCATACAACTTCCTTACAACTACTTAATGATTACGAATTGCGAATAGAAATTACATAAAAATTCTTCGTAAATCAGTCTATGAGGTTCAAACCTCAACACCATTTCGATTATTTTGTAAAAGAGGCTGTTACCCACCCAAGCATGACTATTTGATTGTTTTTATATACGTTTTTCACGAACATCATCAACGCCTAAATTAAACGAAAGTGTGGCAAAACCGATTACGAAATCTGTTAAATCATTACGAAGCCGTTTAATAGCAGATAAAGGCGCAACTGCTTCAAAAACTGTAAGACATTTATTGGGACCCATATCGTTGAGTTATGTTAACAATATTGTTCTGAAGCACTTTCGAGTCGAGTCAGGCAGGTGAACACGACGATCGCCGATGACGCAAAGATGCCTGTTATTATAAAAGCATTGGGGAAGATGAAAACCAGAGGATTCCCGTCAACCGACAGTAGTTTGTACGGCAGGGCGGTCACAAGTCATATTACCGACGTCCACGTACCCATCATATGCACCCAGTCGACTGGAGTATGATCAACCAGCCAAGTTACTGTATCTCTCGATTATGTTGAACGTTACGCTCGATTCCGTTGAACGGCTGGATTATTATAATACCAGGCTGTGTTGAAGGCATGCTCCGGAGTCATTCCGAACGT